CGGATTGAGTAATTTAGGGGCGGGGCGAAGAATCCGGATTTTTGAACCTATGCTATATGCGATAACTATTAGAGTTATTAGGCTACTTAGTAGCCGCTACTAGGGATATTGAATTTGCGGTGTGGATTATGCTCAGAAATAGTATTTGGATAATCTTCTTCTGAATTACCGAAGAACAATCTCGAGGGTTCGTCGAGGCTCGAGGCAAACGCGCAATCTGACCGAACCCGGGGAATACCATCCTTCCGACCCGGGGAATCGGCATCTGCAGAATATCTGGCTGTCGCCGCAATTGGCAGCGTGCCACAGCAAAGCGATTCGCCTCGGGCGAACAGCAAGGTCGTGCGCGGATATTCAGTATCTCGCTGATGGAGTCTATCCGAGTCAGATAATCAGACAGCCTCCCAGTGCCTGTGGCTATCAACTGAGCGGTCTAGCCTCGACCCTTACTTTTTCTTCTCGTGGAAGTGCTTTGCTAAAGGCATCCTGAATTGTTGCAATAATATGACAGGTGCTGTAGACCCTATAAGTAACCCTCAATGCTGACGTAGAAGAGCATTTCAATGAATTTCGAGTTTCGAGGTGGATCGATTCCTCGAATCGAATCGATTCGTCTGCCCGCCGCAGCATCCTCGATTGATTAGCACCGAACAATCGATCGATTTTCGATATCTCGATCCAATCGAGCCTCGGTCCGATGTATGATATGAGGACGGTAGGTGAAAAATGAGAGCCATAAGCGTGCTTCTTCGAAGTCAAAACGGCACTGCCGTGATAGCAACTAACTTGTGATGCACATTTCAATCTTAGAGGCCTATGGAGCAGTACTTTCATATGATGAAAGAAACGGACGAAGAGGAAAAGCAAATAAAGGCATTACTGCTGCTGGGGCGGTTCGGCCAGAGAATCTGTCCGAACCGCCAAGTAGGTGTACAGGCGTGGTGAGCTAGAGAAAAAGTGATATCAGATATAATAGGTTACCAACAAGACTCACTAAATATATTTTGTTACATACTTATCAACGCAAGAAAATGTTCGACACGTTTTGGATACACATGAGAAATTAGCAATCGTGGAAATGATGCCTCTCAAAACATCGTACGGTGTTCTGACGCAACGTTTTTCTTGACAAAATATCGAGCTAATATTTTGCAACACAAATATACATCATCCGACGTTGGTAATCGTTGTATACAAACGGTAGAAGACAAAATCATACTCAAGTTAGCAATCCAACATTACACACACGTTTTACGAAGTTGCATGAAAAACTTGGTCCGTGGGAATCGAACCTGCGCAGTCTCGCATGATGGGCGGGCGCTCTACCAACTGAGCTGCACGAATCGGGCCGAGGCGACTTTCAGAGACAGCACAATTGCGTGAATCTTGCTGGACTGCATCGCTCCGCTAGGTTTTTGTGACATGTATAAAAGATTTAAAATTGTCAGGCCTGGGATTCGAACTTGCGGTCATTTTAAATCGGCTCCTTGTCGAAACTGTTGTGTTACATTCTCGCAGACTAGTGCGTGCTCAACCTGTGTCGGGCTGCTACGTATGCTATTTAAACTTCAACGCAATTGAACGGCTAGGTCGCGAGAAGACGGCTTCATTTTGCCTATATACTCTAGCCGCAGGTAATGCCGGTTTGATTTTAGCGCGCGCCCGGGGCCCCCACCCCAGCGCGCGCAATTTTGTTAAGGCGATGGGTTGGGTTTCTTGGCGAAACCGGCGCGGGATCCACCCAGGAGCTCTCCCAGGAGAGCAGTGCGTGAAAACGCGTTTAATGGACTACGATCAGGAGCGCTCCCATGATCACTCTGATGAGTGCTCCTCGGCATGTTCAATAAGTATTTTTTGCTCGCCCGAGAGTGCTCTTAGGATTGCGTTTTCCAGGAGAGTTCTCATCGCTCCTGAAATCGTGCTCACGGGATTTGAGGCGCGCGCTCATTGATTTTGGCGGAGCGTAGTGACGTTAGTTTTACAATTCCGCGAGTTAAGCCGCCCGTTCAATAGACCGATTTTGAATTTGAGAAGCGTTTCTAGAAACGATTCTGGGATTTTCTGTTCATAGAACCAGCTCCGGAAACGATCCCAGAAACGTTTCCAGAAGTGGTTCTTAGCGCGTTCAAAGGAGCTTGTGCGCGATTCTGAGAGCGTTTCCAGAATCGCAGATTCCAGAACCACTCCGAGTGGTTCTGAAAATTTCGTGGCGCGTGACAGAAGCTTCATAGAGAAGAGCGCCGAGAAGGGAAATGTGTGGAGTCCAGAAGAAACAACTCTCCTTGGAGAATTGCCAGTCCCGAACTGGTTATGAGGGGCGATACAGCAAGAAAAGAGGTCATACTCAGCAGGGACATGACGTTTGTCGCCAAACAGACTCGAGAGGGTTTGCGAGTTGGGCCCCAACTGTTGAGCTAGTAACCGGGAGGTCGGAGGTTCGATCCCGGGAGGTGACATGTGAAAATATATCGGGTCTGGACCCTAGAATCGACCACCTCCAATCCTCTAGAGCGACTCTAGAGGACCGCAGTACTGAGGTTGGGCAACCAGGTACCGCTTACTAACGGGTCAGTAGGTAAAGTTTACCTGGTAAACAGCCTACTGACAAGTACTGGTACTCGTTCATAGGTAGACCGCTCGACAGTAACTACTAGTTACTAACTGCTATTTCGCAAAGTAGTCATTCTAGCTCAGTAGGATAAGCTAGTATACTGTGACCCAGGTGTCTCAGGTTCGAATCTTAGTAGAGCCTCTACTGTAGAGGTATATTTCGGAATTCAGGGATAGTCGAGGAAGTCGAGGTATGGCCTCAGGTTCCATCCCGGGGAGCCTCATTTCTCACGTACTTTATTTGTCCATTCTGGAATCGAATCGATGTTGGAATCGATTTTAAAAATCGTGTCTACTGAACGCGAGTCGGAATTGATTCTGGAATCGCTTCCGAGATCGATTTTCAACTTTCAAAATCGTGTTTATTGAACACGACTTCAGGAACAATTTCGAAAATCTATTTTGAGAATCGATTCCAGCATCGCACACAGCCTTGTCTATTGAACGGGTGGAAGGTCGGAGTGAGCCCCACCGCCGGTGGGCCAGGCCTTACCGAAATCTTAAGTACGTCCTTAAGAACGTGGGTTAGTGCTACAAACTAACCCCCTTACAGTAAGGGCCTTGCCGTCCTTGAAAAAATAACGTTAAATCTTAAGGTTTCTCACCTTAAGAGTGAGTGTCACTCTCAACTTATGAGTCTTAACTTAAAACTCTTGAGTAAGAGTGAGTCTCACTGTTTCTTACCTCAGTGAGTCTGAGGAACTTGTGAACTTACCCCTTCTTGTTTGTTAGTGAAACGATCTAACCTCAGTTTCTTCAGTTTTTCCCGTCTTAAGGTATGTGGTTAGTCACTAACCGCCTACTAGATCCTCTTTCATTAACCGTTAGTAAAAGAGGCTCGTTGTTTCCAACTGTCAAAGATGCTAAGTACAAAAGTAATCGATCAAAAGCTGCGCGACGAGCGAAGCGATGCAAAGAGCTCTCTCAAGAGAGGTTTTGAAGCGCGCGTTTCAAGGCTCTGTTATTTGAACAGATTTTCTGCTGACTCCTAGGAGAGCTCCCGACATATTTCGGGAGCGCGTTAGTTGAACGTGATTCCAGGAGAACACTTCAAAAGCGCTATTCAGCAGCACTCTCAGGAGCCTGTTTTGTGTTGTTTCTTGAACACCCGGTAAGCGAGAGGATGAAAGAAGAATAGCGCCCGCCCAAGCGTAGCAAAAATGTAAGCGTGATGAAATGGTGCGTTGCTAAGCGGCGGGCGGCGGAAATCATTCGCGAGCTATCCATCAGATTGTGCTCACCGTAACTAGTATATCGCTCTCGCGAGATCACAGGTTATGGCGTCTAATATGTATACGTCGGACTGCCAATTACTCAGTGAATTTGGCCACGAGTTCGTCCCCCACAAGACCAAGTAGTCCTGGGAGGCGGTCGAGGCCGAAGGCATGGGCCTTCTCTGGACGGAGTCGGATCACTTGAGGTGCAAGCCTATGAAACCGGCCACTAGTGGTCGTTGTGCGCGGCGTGTGCGCACAATAGCTAATGTACAGATTATCGATTAGTGATCTGCGGCTGACACGGCCGATTCCCTTGCTCTCCCAGCATGTCGAGTTCGAGAGATCAGCAACCTCCACATGGTGCCCAGACCCACCGTGGCCCCCAAGTGTCTCCGAGGAATGCTTTGGACACCGCTGCTAACATTAACGCGCGGTTAACTGCTAGCTTTATGCATGGCGACGAGACCCAGTCGCCCCCGCCGCAGCTAACTCCGGAAATCCGTGTAGTGGTCGTTGTGCGCGGCGTGTGCGCACAATAGCTAATGTACAGATTATCGATTAGTGATCTGCGGCTGACACGGCCGATTCCCTTGCTCTCCCAGCATGTCGAGTTCGAGAGATCAGCGGTCATCTTGCTGTCTGTGAGGATGTAAAGATGTCGCATCTTTACAATGTAAAGTTTACATCCTCACAGACAGCAAGATCGTCCACTATCGAGTTGTCAAGCTACTCAAGATCGCTCTGGCTCTAGACGGTCCAGCACGGTTGGCTAAGTATCCCAAATCTTGGACGAAATGGGAATTTTCCCATGCTAGACGATCTGCCTTGCTTATAAAGGCACTTGGTACACTCGTGGGCTCACTTGGTCGGGTACATTTCTACCACTGTCCTTCGCAGTTCAACCTTGCAGATGCCTACTCTCGAGGTACTGCTCCCTACTCGGTGGACCATGTGGCTACTCAGAGCTGGTTAGACCAGCTGCATGAGGATTCGACCGAGGCTTCCATCGTAGGTCGTCCATAACTTCGAGGCATCTATCGATGAAGCCGACCTGATATGTTATGCTCCTGATGGCCAGGATAATCGCCACATCGACGATAGCTAGGATCGGATATCCAGGATCTGATTAGACAAGGTCAAGCATCTGACACTTATTGCCAAGAGGTGAAGCAGATGTGCTCCTCTCTGGGCTCCCCTGACGTCTCCAAAGTCGATCCTTCCGATCTCTCTAAAGGCGAGCGCGCAAGGCTCAGAGCTATCTTCTCGGCGGACGGTCAAGGTCTCATCAGGCTCACGGTCGGGCAGCTACCAGGTCGTGAAGGCCCGCTTCTCGTTTCTTTAGGGTTGCAGGCCCGGGTTTTAGCCCGCTACCACGCGTTTCTCTGCCACCGTCCTGCGAAGCACACCCACCGTGACGGTGGCACCGTCCTGGCGAGGTGGTCGGGACCGGTCCGTGTCAAGGGTGGAGGTGATTCTCAGCAGCTCGTCCAGATAGAGAGCCTGTCGGGCCGCTCGCTTGGACAAGTCCACATTTTCAACGTCAAGAAGGCTAATCTCTCGGATCAACAATTGCGGCTGATGAAGCAGCTCAGAGCTAAGGACGAGGAGGAAGAAGTCACAGCAGTTACTGCCAACTCTATATCTCCTATAGTCGTTGCTGACTTGCCTCCTTTGATGTCTACTCTGTTCTCTCATGCCCACTACGTACTTGGCCAGGATACCGATAACAAGACACCACTGGTGCACGTATCCTTGCTGGAACCGTCATCGACTTCATCAAGGCCGGGGTTCTGGGTCCAGACAGATCGCTGCGACCTGTGGGTTCAATGCCCACAATACGTGTTCGATAAGTTCAAGGACAGCACTTTCAGATGCAAAGATGTTGGTCTGAATTGTCGGTTACTTGTGAACTAGTAACCATCATCTGGCATTGATTAATCAAGTCGCGTGATACCTTCTGTTTTCATTTGCTCTTCTTTCAGTCTTTCCTTTTGCTCTCCTCTCAACTTTCTTCTGTGCATCTACTCCTGACTATTGCTACTAGTAGCAATAGCGCCGCTCGGCAATGTGCTCGCCGTATCTAGTATATCAAGTATATCGCTCGCCTATCGTGTGAAACGGTGATACCACATGAAGATGCATGAGTGCAAAAGAGTATATACACATTTTCGACCACCAACTCTCGTGCCTTTGAGTTATGTCTGCCATACGTGAAGATAAGATAGATCGTTGAAATATCTATCTGATGGATACTGTCGATTAGACAGTTGACATTTTGCAGTTCATCACGACCTGGTTGCCTAGGCGAACAAATATCGCAATACTAAGGCTACGCAATACCGAGGCTATGCTGTTATTGACGGAAGCCACAAGCCCGAACTATCATATAACGGTAGGCTGTTATGCAAGGCAAGGGTGACAAACAAGGCTGGGGTCCTACAACCGGGCCGAGAAGACGAAAAACAATAATCACAGGGAAAGCCAAACCCGAGCTGTTATCCGAGTCCGGAAGCTGCACCAGGGCGGGCTTCGGAGAATGCAACTTGGTGAGGAAGCGCCGTGCAGCAGTGCTGTCCGTGCGAGCAGCAGAGATTGGTAAAAATAACTTATAGAGGTAGCTTCCGGGCCGGGAGTTCCGGCCAGTCTTTGGGCGGCCGTTGGCGTCAATGCGGCCGCCAGCAATTCAAGCGCGACCATGTTACGAGATTCTGGAGACGCCGATATGTCTTTCAGTCAGCTGTCTTCATTGAAAACTCTTCAATCCCCAATAGCACTGGGACAATGCTGTGCAACCGCCTAACTTGAAGACTGGATGACCCACTGGATGTCCCGGGCATCCAGCCGCATTCCGATCATCATGTCCGGAAGGTGACTGGCTGCGCAAAGACTACTATGGTAGTAGCTCTACTCTGTTAAGACTATGCACCACCGCAGAGGACGAAGACTCTGCTGAATCAGCAATGCTGATTCAGCATCACTGAGCAATTTGATGGTGCTGGCCCAGAACTGCTGGGTCACAGTCGCTGATAGCGGAACCCTTCGCTCAATTGAGGAAACCGAGGAGTCGCGAACGTGTCGTTCCCTCAGGAACTTCCCTGCGCGGTCCCTGCGCGTCGGGCGCGTGCAGGCTGCGCCCGAAGTCTGCACTCGACAATGTGCTTTCTGACTGGCAGTGCAAGTGTCTGGTGGCCGAAGGATAATTCCCACGAGACGTGGTTAAGCTCCATGGCACACATTTAAGTGTGACTCGCATGACAAAGCAGAGCCTTGGCGACTCACGAGGTGCGAGCGCAAATGGAACGCGGGGATGCCGGGCAAAGCCCAGAGCGCAGTGGTTAGCCGTGTGTGTCACACGGTGTGACTCGCACCACGCATACTATGGATTGCATAGCTTCGCAGTGAGTGTGTGCCGTCACGTAACAACAATGTTATCAAAATCATGTTACGGTAACCCTCATCTTGTTTTCGCCACTGACAAGGCGAGATTGCCAGGGTGAAATTTGCAAGGGATGTCTCGTTGCTCCTTGTCACAAGAGCTTCTTGTGCTAGAGTATTCGATAATAGAACCAAGAATCTTGGTCCAAGATATATTATAGACTACAATTTATAGTCCAAGTTTTACATCAACTGTACGATGCGTGCCGTACGTGATGATCATCACGTCGTGATGCACTAGCCTTACGCTGGCTGTGTGATGCGGTCGCATCATACGACCGTGGCGTCGCTGCGGCACGATGTCGACCATCGGCGTCGGCATGCGTTAGCTCCTGAGACAGGCGGTCTTTCAGATTCGAAGGTCGCATGGTGTTCAGCGGCCGAGTCTCAGCATGTCTGGCTTGCTTTCATTCAGAGGAAAGCACCAAGTATTCATGCTGCATGGGCACCATGCCATGGGAGGAGTTGCCGCGACTTGCCGGAAGGCATACAGGGGCTCACAATGGTGTATAGCGAGTCGCTATTAGCGACAGCTGCCCTGTCCTCGTTGGACTCCAACGGTTGGAGACATACCCAGGCTCCCAATAGTGCATAGCGACAGCTGACCTATCTTCGCTGGAAGCATATAGGGGCTCACCAAGCTACACGCCGCTCTGTTCGCGCTGGAGGCATACAGGGGCTTACAAAGCCGCATAGCCGCGGCTGTCTTGTCCTCGCTTGAGGCATACAGGGACGTACGAAGCCGGATAGACTCGGCTGCCCTGTCCTCGCTGGAGACATGCAGGGGCTCAGAAAGCTGCATAGCAGCGCCTGCCCTGTCCTCGCTTGAGGCATACAGGGGCTTAGAAAGCTGCATAGCAGCGGCTGCCCTGTCCTCGCTTGAGGCATACAGGGGCTTAGAAAGCTGCATAGCATTGGCCGCCCTGTCCTCGCTTGAGCTATACAGGGGCTTACAAGGATGCATAGCCGCAGCTGCCCTGTCCTCGCTGGAGGCGTACAGGGACTTAGAAAGCTGCGTAGCAGCGGCTGCCCTGTCCTCGCTTGAGGCATAGAGGGGCTTAGAAAGCTGCATAGCATTGGCCGCCCTGTCCTCGCTTGAGGCATACAGGGGCTTAGAAAGCTGCATAGCAGCGGCTGCCCTGTCCTCGCTTGAGGCATACAGGGGCTTAGAAAGCTGCATAGCATTGGCCGCCCTGTCCTCGCTTGAGGTATACAGGGGCTTACAAGGATGCATAGCCGCAGCTGCCCTGTCCTCGCTGGAGGCGTACAGGGACTTAGAAAGCTGCGTAGCAGCGGCTGCCCTGTCCTCGCTTGAGGCATAGAGGGGCTTAGAAAGCTGCATAGCATTGGCCGCCCTGTCCTCGCTTGAGGTATACAGGGGCTTACGAGGCTGCATAGCCGCAGCTCAGCCGCGATAGCGGGCGAAGTTTGCCGCCCCAGTAGCCGCACGACCACAACCTACTCGGAACAGGCAGCTGCCGCTTGAAATAGGCCGGGCCGGCTTTAGGTCCAGAAAGGCATCAGTTGTCGTGAACAAGCAGGTAGGCTTCAGTACTGTGCAACACAACAGCACAGAACAAGTCGAAGGCCATTCTGTCCACACGTACACCGTGTGCAATAGCTATGCGAAATAGATCAACTTGGCGAACGACTACTGATGCTTTCAGTGAGAGCACTCACAACGGGAGCAGCACGAATCTACAACATCCTGCCCCCCTTGTTCGCCAACTCACGAACAATAATAGTAGAAAAGGGGAAAGAGTAGCTTAACAGGTAGTTAACGCAAAGGGTCGTATCTATCAGGCGCCCTATGTGTTCTGGGATGCAATTTAACACGGTCAGCAACAGAGTCGTCAACAATAATTTGATCATCTGGGCTGACAATGAGCATATCTGAGTCTTCATCAATATCACTGGATGGGATGTCAATCGGAATAGGAGATGCGATAAGACTTTCAGTAAACTCTAACTGATTACGACATGGGATAAGTCTATCAATGGTGGCAGTAACCATGCGGCCAACAGGAAGTCCATTATCATCAATAGGACGTACTTGGCACGCAAATGGAGATACCTCTTCTACAATGTAGCGAGTATCAAAAAAACGCTGACCAGCATGCCGAATCTCTTTTGGCTTCGCAAGCCAAACTTGGTCGCCGACTGTGTAAGAGGCATTTCCAATAACCTGTGAAGCTGGAGGGACGGACGACGGAGTTTCTAGTCCACGGCGAATTTCTCGACCAGTTAAAGCTTCTGCAGGGCAAACTCCGCCAAGAGAACTATGTGGTGATAGATTATAGGAATCACATGCACGTTGAACACGTGTAGCGATGGGGAGGTCCGCTAGAATAGAGCACTTAGTTTTGAGTGATGCATGAAACCTTTCGCATACGCCATTACTGGTTGGTCGATAACCGCTTGTTAGGATCAACGTTACACCAACAGCTTTGAGCTTGTCACGTAGAGCACTCCACACTCCTCTATCCGCACGCAGGAATACAGGATATCCAAGGAGAGAGTGTTTGCAAATAGCGGTAAATGCTGCCCATATCGACACTGCTTGTTCATTCAGAAGCATTGCAACCAGAGCGTATCGGGTATGTTCACATATAAGAGATAGGAGTGGCCGTGAATCTATATGAGTCACATCGGACGCACATATAACCCACGGACCAGAAGCTAGGCGACGAGGGTCGCCAGTGACCAGAGGAAACAACTTCGCCTTATTCTTCTCGCATGTTTCGTTGGGGCACTGTCGTAAAACCGTCTCGACATCAGCACGGAGTGAAGGCCAGCAGTAGTAACGGCCGACTATTTCTACCACCGGCAAGATACCACCATGCACAGTAGCTTCATGGACACTAGTAATGACACGGCCACGAAGAGAAGGTGGAAGATAGACTTTATTCCGGTACCAGTAGAGGCCTGATGTAGCATCACAAACCAAGGATTGTAGGTCATCATCAGGCAGGCCTTGCTCATACGCCTGTAGAATCTGGGGAACTGTTGGCCACCACATGTCATTAGGTGCACTTGTTGACAAGTTCCGAATTCCAGCCAGCGCGAACGTGCCGTCGACAGAGTAACAGTCTGGTAAGCCCTTGGGTAGCCGAGTCAAACTATCAGCTATGTTGGATTCGGATCTTACCCAGTGAATGGTCAACTGTAGATTAAACTCTACCATCAAGGTACGTATCAAATCTAGTCTTCTAACAACCAGTGGTTTGTACATACCATGAACTGTTATTTTCTTGTGGGATATAAGACGATCCACCCATGAATATACAGCTTTGGAGTCGGTGATCAACTCCAATTTCTTATAGTCATAATCGATAGCAACGTCCAAGGCCTTTAGTAATGCATCCAACTCTCTTATATTGGCATGAGCTGTGGGTCGAGTATCAGGGTCGACTGATGATGGCTGAGTGAGTGAGCAATGGTCATATAATACGTTGTCGTGCTCATCAGTAAGGGCAACTCCTATAGCCAGCATACTAGCATCGAACCACAACTTGATACATTGATAAGCACTCACTTCTTTTCCAAAATGAGCCTCAGGTAATAACCATAAACCAGACGCAGGATCGCCTCGTTCACGCAGTAATGCGCATAAATGTAATCCATATTTCCGGATTCCAATGGGAATATTTTTGAGCCACGAGCTTTTAGTAGTGTCGCAGATACGTCCCAAGAGTCGACGTCCAATAGCTGCGGCTATGCGCAACCAACCACATACTGGAACATGGGAACAAAGGGTCCCAAGCCAGGAAGAAAAGGACTTGCAGGAAACATACTCGCTGTTTCGCAGTTGCGACTCTATGCATAACAATTCATCAACTGTTAATCGGCGTCTCCATCGGAGTGCGCCATCATCAGCTCGGTAGACTACCAAACCCAAGAGTCGACTACCCTCAATAGGACATGGATCTTTAGTGGTAAGAGAATTCCGCAATAAAGCCGCTCGAACACGGTCAACACCATCTTCTTGAGTATTGTTATTATCAGCGGAAGGTTCAATCATAGAACTTCTACAGACTTTGGGGACGATGATATCATCAAAGTATCTCAAGTTCCTCGTCGGCTCATCCTTGAGGGAGAAATCAAGTATTGATTTCAACATACGAGGAGCTGAGCTTGCTCCAAACCCTAACCGGCAGAGACGATAGTAGCAACCATCTACACGATGATCTAGGCGGATGATCTGATACCAAGACTGATCTGGATCCATGAACAGACTTGGATATGCCCGGGATATATCGAGAACATCGCCTTCAGAAATTCGTCTCCATTTACGAATCTCTTTTTGGCAGTTACCCGCAAACGGATCGCTTGCCATTATACAATATCGATTTATATAGGTATAATCAATAGCAGGCCTCACGGCCGTTGTTTTGTGACCTTGAACAACTGGTACAATAGGTAGGACACAACGTATTTTATGCAATTCATCTTCACCAACCCGAACAAGCCACCCCTGCTCGATCCAGCTATCGAGCTCAGCAAACAGTGCTTGTTGTTGGTCCTCTAAAAGATGCTTGATTGAGTATTGTTCTGGACAACAAATATAGTCTGGTGGTTTATCATTTAACCACTTCCAGCCAACCTGCCACCTGAAAGTACCATCAGCTTGTTGGAGCCGTTTGCAGGTGCAATCTGGGGCATCCAACAAAATAGTGCCATCAGGGTACTCATGTACCGTACAGGATTCTAAGTCATAGACGGTAGCTTGTGACGTGTCCGGAACAGCGGCACCTGCTACCAGGGCTGTAGTGACATTTCCTACAGCCGAATAGTGGATATTTAATGAGTATCCCGGAAAGGACGACCAGAAGTCAGCGCCAACCAAGAGCGGTAAGTTTCCGGGTAAATAAGGAACCACTAAGGCGCATACCGAAGAAGTCATATCATCAAGAGTAATGGTAACATTGCTACTGCCTATGCTGTTGAGGACTTGTCCATTCAGTGTGATCAAGGCTGAAAGGGTGTCCTCAGAAGCAGTCAAATGCAGTAGCTGCAATGTGTCAGCAGTTATCAAAGTACGAGAGCAGCAGGGATCGCATAAGGCTGTCAGAGAGATGGTCTCGTCATTCGCCATAGCAATCAGAAATTCACGACTTGGCAGGAGTGAACAATCAAGACTTGGATGTATAGAACCAGCCGCTGCAAGGAGTTTATACGGGGGACTTTCCACGTCAGCTACTGCTGGCTGTGGCCCCCTGTCGGGTTTAAAGTGCCAGCAAGTGTCATAGATTTGACGAGTTGTGGACATTGAGCTTTTAAATGTCCAGATTCATGGCAGTTCCAGCAGACTCTAGGTGGGAAGGACTGTGACGAATCTTTATGAAGGCCACGACCTTTACCTTTACCACCACGTCCAGCACCTTTGCGGCCCTTCCCAAGTCTACTGGGTTGCCACGGCAACCCGGCTGCACCTAGGGTCTCGGGGGGTACATCGTCAAACTTCGACGCTCTAAGGTGATCTTTGACCAAACCAAGAAGGCTTAGAAGAGAGACCTGAAGATCCTCGGACTTAGCAATGGCTAGGGTACGGGCAGCTGTATTAGCCGGTAGGCCAGCTATGAACTGTGATCTCAGCAGCGCTTCCTTAGCAGCAGTTTGCATAGTGGGATGACTTATATCAAGTAATGCCCTTAGATCTGCTAGGAAGGAATCAGGGAGTTCGCTGGTCTTCATTTGACGCCGGCAGAAAGCTTTCCAGGCTCCAAGGCGCCCTAGCCCAAAGGCAGATCGTAGAGCAGTAGCCAATCCATCATAGTCATCCTGAAGGGCTTCGGGTAGGGAGTACACTAGCTGGGCCGCTCGCCCTTCAAGTGCTATTTTCAAAATGCCAGCCGCCTTCATGCTATACTGATGCTGTGTAGCTTCATCGGCATCAGGAGCAGGTTTACGGAGGCCTCTCACCTGCAGATAGGTGGATAACTTCTTCAAGAAGAGCTCGATACTTTTCGCCGGTTCATCAGCTGATATACCTTCACCACTGAACCGCGGACATGCAGGCAACGACGCTTTAGCATCATGATCAAGTACAGCCGCCATATTCAGTTTCTCGGTTCCAGTACCAGGATGTCGTGAACAAGCAGGTAGGCTTCAGTACTGTGCAACACAACAGCACAGAACAAGTCGAAGGCCATTCTGTCCACACGTACACCGTGTGCAATAGCTATGCGAAATAGATCAACTTGGCGAACGACTACTGATGCTTTCAGTGAGAGCACTCACAACGGGAGCAGCACGAATCTACAACACAGTAGGAACCTCAAACCGTCGGAAGCCTATTGATTGGGTTCCTCGGGCTTTTGGGACCACCGAATTTAACGGACCGCTCTAGACCCTAGAGCTTGGAGGCATACACGGGCTCGCAATGCGGTACAGAGACAGCTGCCCTGCCCCGTTGGAGGCATACACGGACTCGCAATGCTGTACAGAGACAAACCCAGTCTTGAAAGTTACATTAACATACCCGGACTATAAGCTGCAGGTGATGGACTACAAATGCTTACGAATCACCAGTCTCAACCACGGGCAGATCAAACATGGTAGCGTCCTCATTCCCCACAATTTTTCCCCTCACACACGAATCGTCTGTGAGGTCGTCGACGAGTCATCTGAGACGATGTCTCATGTACCATAGCATTATCTTGCTCTTCGGATGAACCAGAACTTATCTTTACTTTCATCCTGCTGAGCGATGCTCGGAATAGGTTGAGTCCGGAATAGCATGATGCTATTCCGGATTCGATATATTCCGCTTGTGCTTCCCGAGATTGTTTGGCTCCTGTCTGCTGCGTCGCTTCTCGGCATTTTGTTGTCATCTTGTGGGTCACCGCCTCGCCAGTCACCTTCCTTCACGTTATCCGGCAGGTGTGAGCCATCAGCCTAAGTCTGTGACCTATACAATCAACGATCCTATTTTTTCATAGTGACTCGCAGTTTGCTGCACTGCCCACGCTCGTGTGGCCGAATTGGTCAAATCATCACAACTGTGAGCATTATTATGATCATCATCATAATATGATGCCATAATGCTCATGAACCCGAATTACATAGTGCCATTATGCAGGTTATCTCCAGGTTTCGTCGATAATCGACATTAGGTGAATCATATATCATACATCTGTGGTTCTTATATTGTAGTGCTATCAAAGGGGTCTCTTGCAGTTTCTATTCCATGAAAAGCGAGCGACATCACACGCCAACACGTTGCTAATATTGAACTCTCCCTCGTCGTTGTCGGGATCAAACCGTTTCAGACTGAACTGATTACCATTGAGGTCTACAGGAAAGACAAACTTATGAAGTTGAGTGAGGAAAGACTTTGGTATCGAATCTATCAGGAATCGAGGCTAAGATGGACAAAATAGAGACGGCCCGAATAGTGTTGAGTGCCTAAGTTGACTCCCAACTAAAGCTTGTCCAAGGCCCATAAAAGCCTTTTTATATGCGTGCTGCACGCAGCGTGCAACTGTGTAAGGGCATAGATAATGGCTAGAGGGCACAAATAACTTCAAGAGTGCAAGGATAACCATTCTCAGTTACTTACACTAAAGAGATGAATGGTAATGCTAAAATCACAATGGTGCACACAGAGTGACCAGCTACAAAGACATAATGCTCAACTACTGCTTGATTACAGCATATAACAAGAGTTGGGCCATCGGCCCTGGGTCAAGAATACCGCTCACGAGTGATCACCCATGATTCTGTGTTGATCAATTGTGGAAATAGCAATAATGGCTAGAGGGCACAAATAACTTCAAGAGTGCAAGGATCACGATTCTCAGTTACTTACACTAAAGAGATGAATGGTAATGCTAAAGTCACAATGGTGCACACAGAGTGACTCAGCTACAGAGACATAATGCTCAAGTACTGCCTGATTACAGCATATAACAAGAGTAGGACCACCGGCCCTGGGTCAAGAATACCGATCACGAGTGATCATCCATGATTGTGTGTTGATCAATTGTGGAACGAGCAATACTTCCCTTGGGACCCGCTATCTAGACAAAACCCTCCTTCAGGACAGTCCTGGGGAGACATCACTCGTAGGCCACATCGGAGCGAACTGATTCTACCTTATCATTGCTGCATCCGATACTGCATTTTCCGATAGGCTGGCATTGTGCCCATCCAGTAGGAGGCTTCGGACAGTTGCCGCTTTCCCAACAATCGTCACCACAGACCGCTGCATAGATCACTTTAGTGTTCTGAAAGAGATAAGATAGATTGAGAGTTTGTACAGCAATGCGACGGATATCTGAGTGAGAGGGGTCGTTGAAGATTACATGGTAGTAGATTAGGCAGGTAGTGTAGCAATAACAACCAGACACAACCCCAGAATTAATGATGCATTTACCTATGGGCTTCTCATAGTTCGCACCCTCTGAAATGGACACAACAATTGATGATCGATTCCATGCTTCGAGCTGTGACCGAGTCCATATGACTGACCTGAAGTTAAGCTGACATCGTCATTGTTATCCGCTGTCACAAATGGTCCAAGGACTTCGGTTCTGAAAGGAGTCATATTATCAAACAATGTAAGTCATACTCCCTCCTCTGAAGAGGCTCCTGACGGACCCACCTCCCGACCATGAAATCAGCCCAGGCCATGTTGAGACAGACCAACAGCGGGATGTTCACGAGGTTGTGCATTGGTGGGCAAGATGTGTAGGCAAGTCGTTGCTGTGCGTCGCAGAACAAGACGGTCATAGATGAAGGCTCTGGCACACGTGAGGCTCACGCACCTGCGCAATGCGAGGGTCCACGAACTATTCCTGGTCCGATTGTTTGAATCCAATAATTTTTTTGCTCCATGAATTATACCCGAACAGGGTTGAACCTTGCTCGAACTTCGCAGATTTCATGAAATGTTGCTGCTGCAATTTCGAGGCTGAAACTTGACTGAAATTAGAAATTTCGTGAAATTCTGAATTTTTGGAAAGGATCCGCCTAATCCCGTTTCCACCATCGAAAGTTTCTGTACGAAACGTCGTTCACTCTACTGAGCTATTCGATTCATCAATAGAGATCCCCTTCTGTTAACATGCTCTAGAATACTGCTACACAGCATTAGATCATCGAAAAATTTCTACTTGAGCCTTGTACATTGATACTATCCGATTGTGCGCTGAGTGCGCGCTCTATTACCTAGTTGATTTCTGCGCAGAACGTTCTTGTTGTGCCAGTTGCCAGTGCCAGTAGCCATTGTGAGACATTGTTTC